TGAGCACGAAATCATCCGAGGGTGGGTTGATCAATTTGAAAACCCACGCAGATGGATGTGACCAAAAACTCCCATCCCAACAAGCACATAACAAAAACGCTACTGCACTCACGGTCGTGAGGAACAGCGCAAGATATCGGCTTGATGGCTTTCTGAGCCCTGTACTCTCAATCAAGATCACCCACATATCAGCGTATATCGCCAACGGAAGCAACATGGAAAACACTAACACTTCCAATGGCCGCAAGCATTTTTGACAAAACTTCCTGAACCTCAGCGGGCAAGCTGAGAACCAGCTTTGAATCAGGCTTGACTGTTCTGCCTCCTCCTCCCCTTCATCACTCATGATTGCGGTAAGAAGGTAGGCAGACAACGGATCAAAACGGATCTTTCAAGCGCTCTCACTTTCCGCACATGAAAGCAATGATCTTCTCGACGATTTCATGCTTCGACCCCGTCTTGCTAAGACCATTCTTCTCAGCCAGCTTCTGGAGATCATCTTTCTTTGCTGCATGAGCCACTTCGGTGATCCAGTCATCTCCCATGAGCACGTCCTCGGCAATCTTAAGCTTGAGATTCTTCACGAGCTCCTCGCGGCGCTCTTTGGACATCACGGGCTTATCGACAGACAGTGGGCTCGACGTCAAAGGCCTGAGTTTTCTTTCCACCATCTTCTTCTCCTTCTTGTCACTTCTGGCTTTCTTCTTCTCATCCTTGCTTTTCTTTTTCTGCTTGTCCTTGTCTTTCTTCCGGAATGCTCGCAAGGAGGTAGAACTACTGCATGAGCCACTGCTGGATGTGCTACGCTTCCGCCGCTTCCTTTGCTTGGTCCCACTGGTTTCCGGATCTCCACCATTCCCAGAGAGCTTCTTGGCCACCCATTTGAGCATCTCGAAGGGCTGGGACTTTTGCATGCTGCCCGTAGCTGCTCCGTCAGAAGCGGAACTATGCACCCCAAACATCTGCATCACAGCATCTTTCGCATGCTTCTGCATCTCACTGGCTTGGCGTTCTTCTGCTCTTTTTCTCTGCTCTTCTCGCATGAAGTCAAGGACTTCCCTCGGTACATGCCCTCCATCAGCTCCTTGTTGGTTTCGGCCGAATGGACGCCAAGACTGAGAACCTCCATTGCGCCAATTTCTACTCATTTCTGCGTAGACTGCTTTGTCCACAGCAGAGGAACGCACTAGATCTACGAGCTCACAGGGCTGGAAAAGGAAACCAACAGAGCAGTGTCTGAGCTGCTTTCCAACTTGCCTGCACGCAGAGATGAGTGGCGAGACATGTCGTCTACTGAGATTGCACAGACACAGACTTATCCAACGCTGAGGCCAACCCAGACGCTCAATTTCCAACAAGAGGAAGCCGACATGCACGAACATGTTTTGCGCACTTCCCTGCATCAAGTGGTTGTAAGCCAAAATCTTTCCATGCAGAAAGACACGCAGAGTTCTGCAGGAATGAATTTCAGCACCAAAGAAGGGTCCAAGCCGTGCAATCTTTTGGTCATGCGCAACACCAAGAGCATACGGCACGTTTGGGTTGTAAGGCCTAACATGTACTTCAACTCCGATAGCATGTACATGGCATTGGAGCATCCTAACAGTTGGCCCAACTTCTTCAAGCGAGATCCCAACATCAGACGGCCAGAGCCGTTTCATACCTTTCTCAAGGCATGTAGTGCAGAAGACCTTGCTCAAGACCAAAGCGTCATCAACATGCATGATTCCAGTGACAACTTCTTCTAAACTCATGCCATCAACAAGCCAACCAACATCCTGCAAAGCATGATCCGAATCATGAATGCGACGCAACTCTTCATTAAGATCGACAAGCGTTCCGGGCTCACTGAAAGAGCCTCCCATGGGCCAACCACCTCGCCGTTTCATTATCACGTCACCGACTGTGAAATATCGCTCTTTGCCAATGAAGTCAAGAGTGCAGCGGATGTCATCAAAGGTGAGCACGCGGTGGGTGCAATCAGATCGCCTGCTGCTGCTGCAGAGATGCCCCTCAACACGGGCAGACTTTTTGATAGCCACAGCGCTACAACCGAATTTACTCTCAACTCTACGAAGCAAATCGGCGACACGCCTAAGACCTCTTTCCAACGACGCGGATTTGAAAAACTGAGCGGCGTCAATCTTGATCATACTAATCTCTTCTGGCTTGTTGCAGCCACAAGGACAGCGTTTTGTGTACTTCACATGCCTCTTTAGACCAGCCACTCGCTTTTCCAGAACAGGTTTCAACTGACTTTGCTTCCACAGGGTCCAAGTGTGTTCTCGACTCAAACACTTGATCAAACGAACAGCACGTGCAACGGCTCTCAAATGTGTTTTGCAAGGGTTTTGAACATCAGAGATGATCTCACGCTCATGGGCATGCTGCTTCTGGCATGAAAGTCCCCCTGCAGGCCCAATACATTTGCCTTTGTATGTGTGATAGGCATATTGGCAGTTGCTCCCGTCAAACCCTGCTTTGCATCCAACACGAGCTGGAAGATGCTTAGAAGCACAATGTTGCCTGTAGCTGCCAAGCTCATCAACGGAGATCTCTTCACGCTTCTCATAAAACCGCTCATCTTCCACATACCCTTCATGCAACCTGTACAGATATCCAGCACGATCCATCAGCACACGTCGCTTCGAATCTTTGTCAACAGGCACGGCAAGCTTGTCACCGACATGTGCTTCAATCATGCTTTCAAGGTACCGTTGGCCGCTTTTTACCACCGTATATGTAGAAGACTCCACATTCTTCATGAGGTCTTCTCTTAGGAAAGACACACGATATTGCTGCATCAGGCTTTCAAACTGGCTGGTCAAAGCTTCTTGTACTTTGTTGTTCTCAATCTCCAAAGGCACATCCCAATACATGCGACTCTTCACAACATCAAGGCGCTGCTGAAACCACAAAGCTTGTGACCAAGAGAGGTTAAGCACCTCATCACGTGTATGATTGCGTGCAACTTGTATGGCTGACGTAACAGTCTGCGACAAGTTATGGCCTTTGCAACGCAAAACCTTGATTTTATGCGCAAGCATTGTGCCCCACCAAAGAGACTTGTTCTTCACGGCAGCAATGATGCACGAAACCTGCTTCTTGGCCAACGCAAACGCCTGCGCACTCCTCACTGGAACCTTCACCACGAAACGCCGACAACTTGTAAGAGGTGACGTGTTGAGAAACCGCTCGATTTTTGATTGCACACGCAAAGTACTTGCACGATCCATGTCTTGAGCAACCACCCAAACGCCAGTGGCAATGGCACGCGCCTTCCCGGTCTTCCACAATTTGCTGTAGCAAAGGCGACTTCGACTCTCACAAAGGTAGAGAGCAAGCCACCAAACATGCGCCGTGTCATACATCATGTTCATGACCTCTTGCCTACTACGCCCGTACATGTCGTTTTGCCAAGCGCAAAGGTCACCAAAAGTGGTGGCTCTGCCAGAAGCAAAACATCTTGCATGAGCTGAGACGCCGTTGCACAACGCGGAAGCAACATTCAGCTGACACTCACGCTCAACTGACCAACACCGGCGAAATCGCGGCCACGGCCTGTTACAACGTTCAGATTTACATGAATGCTGAACGGCACGATCTTGCATTGGTGCTTGCAAGTGCCGAATGAGAAACCTTTCATACATCAGAATGTTTCGTTCATCACTCCACACTGCTGCTGTCAAGAAGAACTCATGTGGTCTTGCATTGCGCCAGACTCTGTATCTTTTCACAGAGTAGCACAATTCATCCGTCTTGTGAGTGCTCAAGACATGCTCTTTGTATCGTCCAACAATGCCAAGACCATCAGCTCTGCAGCAATTGGCTTTGCCGACGTAGAACAATTTTTGCTGACTGCACCAAGCAAAATATTGCGAACTTTCCTGAGGTACTTCATTCCAGATAGCATCAAAGACTTGCTTGAGATAGTCCTGCCAAGCTTCATGTTGACAGCTGTTGGTCAGAATCGCAGTCTGGACATGCCTGCTGAATCCACGCAACATGACTCTTAAAGGCGTACGCTTGCTAGCATAGAACCACATCTCATGCAAGCCTAGGATATGCGACAAAGTACAACTAAGCCGCCATAGCGCCCTGGAATTTCTGGATGTTTTGTAACTTGTAGGCATCAAATGCTCCAAGACGACTCCTTGCATAGTCTGGGCATACTTGTAACAAGCAGTGTTGTTTTGGAAGCCTTGAAGAGCCCAGCGGCACCAAAATGACGCCACTGTCTGCAGTTGTGCTTCACTTGTTAGTCCATGCGCATGCAAATGTAGGCTTTTTCCAAACGCTGCAGCCAGTTCATGCGGCTGAACGTCCTCCAAAGCCTGATTCAACTCTTGCCTTGTGCATTGTTGTGCACTACATTTTGGATGCAATGCGGTCCACACCCTTTTGGGTAGCAACAATTGCAACCACAGAAGCCAGAACATGTTTTGTTTTAACAGACAACAGATAGCACGCAGTTTATTATTGTCGCTGGCGCCTCAGATCGGATCAAGGTACAACCAGCGCTTCCCAATGTTCGACACGTGTAAGGACACT